TATCATCGCCTTGTCCCCCATAGAGGTAGTTTATGGTGCCCGAGCTGTAGAGAGTGTCGTCTCCGTCACCGCCATGAAGCTCGGTCATTTGGCCGTATTCAATGGTGAGCGAGTCGTCACCGTCGTCGCCGTAGATCGCAGTAGAGCCTCCTCTTTGGACAGTGATCACGTCGTCGCCGGCGTCTCCTCTAATGACGTTGTAGCTTCCAGACTCTATGTAGATGAAGTCGTCCCCGGGACCGCCAGAGACACGGTAAGTATTGTAATTGTAACCCTCCAACACCACAACGTCATCCCCTTCGAGAGCGTCGATAGTGCTGAAGGCGAATCCGTCCGTCGCATGGATGCAGTCGGAAAGATCGGTGAGGGTTAGATAAAAAGAAAGGATTTCCCGATCCAGGTCCAGGCAGATACAGCCCTGGCGGCTGGAGAAGTCGTAAGTCCAGTCTGTGATAACCCAATCGAGATACTGGCCGGCAGACTGGGTTGCGTCGGTCTCGTCCGTGCACCAGCCGCAACAGGACGCGCAGTCTCCGCCGGCCAGGAAGCAGGCGGCGGTCTCCGCGGGATCCCCGGGAGGCACCGTTGGTGTGCTCGCGAGAGCAACGGTCGGGTTCGCCGACGGGGCTTTGACTGGAGACGACGTGGGTTCGCCCGGCGTCTCCGTCGGGATCGGCGCGGGTTCGATCGTCGGCGCGGGCGTGAACGAGACCTCGAACTCCGCCGAGTCCGCGAGCGTCGCGTCGTCCGAGCACGCCAGCGTCAGGGTATAGGTGCTGATCTCCGCGTCGCCGGCGACGGTCTGCGTCTGCTGGCCGTCGTTGGGCGCGGTCTCCGCGCGGACGACGGTCCCGTCCGGGTCCGAGACCTCGACGTCCACGGTCGCGCAGGCGCCGGGGTCGCCGCGGTAGACCCAGAGGACGTCGCACTCGACGCCGGAGACGCAGGTCGAGCCGATGCCGATGCTCGTGATGCGCAGGAAGGAGGCGGATGGGGCGAGCGTCGGGGCGAGCGTCGGCTCGGGCGTCGGGCGGGGCGAGGGCGCGGACGTCGTCGGAGATGAGGTTGTCGGGACGCTCGTCGTCGGAGCGGCGGACGGCTCCCTCGAGTGGGTAGGCTCAGCGCTTGGCTCTGGCGACTCCGTCGGCGGCAACGTCGGCACGAAGGTCGCAGTCGGGCTCGGCGTCGGGTGGGCCTCGCAGCTGGTGGAGGTAGAGGCGTACGCCACGTCATCGATGTAGCACAGATCGCTCCCGTCGCCGCCGAATAGCGAAATAGAATTGTCTCCACCGTAGATCAGAGTGTCGTCGCCGTCCCCACCATATAGACCGATGGAATCACCGACCAACCCCCCGCCGAGTTCCAGTGTATCATCGCCTTGTCCCCCATGGATGTAGGTCCATTGAACAGCATAATCAATGTAGATGAAGTCGTCCCCAGGACCGCCAGAGACACTCGACACGTAGGCGCTGGAATCCTCCAACACCACAACGTCATCTCCTTCGAGAGCGTCGATAGTGCTGAAGGCGAAACCGCCCGTCGAGTGGACACAGTCCGAAAAATCAGTGAGATCCGAATGGAAATAATCCCCGAAATCTCCCGAAAAACCACCCAGATCCAGACAGACACACCCCGATTGCCCGGAGAAGTCGTAGCCGTCCGGCTGGGCGGCGTCGGTCTCGTCCGTGCACCACCCGCAGCACGACGCGCAGTCTCCGCCGGCCAGGAAGCAGGCGGCGGTCTCCGCGGGCACGGGGCTCGCGGACGGCGACGCAGTGGGTTGCTGCGTGCACCCGAAGCTGACGCCGCAATCGGTGACCGTGCAGCCAGCGGAAGAGGCGAAGTCCGAAGCCGAGACGCTGCTCGAGATGCACCAGCCGAGGTCCTGGTCGAAGGTAGTCGCTCCGTCGAACATGCTGCTCAAGTCAGTCGCGGACGACGTGTCCCAGGCGCCGATGTCCTGGTCGAAGGCGGAAGCATAGTAGAACATGCGATTCATGTCCGTCACGGACGACGTGTCCCAGGCGCCGATGTCCTGGTCGAAGGCGGAAGCGAAGGCGAGCATGTACCTCATGTCCGTCACCGACGCCGTGTCCCACTCGCCGATGTCCTGGTCGAAGGCTTCAGTGTAAAAGAGCATGTACGACATGTCCGTCACCTTCGACGTATCCCAGGCGCCGATTGGTTGGTCAAATCTAATCGCGCTGTCGAACATCTCGAGCATGCTCGTCACGGACGACGTGTCCCAACCGCTGATGTCCTGGTTGAAGTTCCATGCTTCGTAGAATGTCCACGACATGTCTGTCACGGCTGACGTGTCCCAGTTGCCGATGTTTTGGTTGAAGACTTCCGCAGACCGGAACGTCCCCATCATGTCCGTCACCTTTGACGTGTCCCAGTCGCCGATGTCCTGGTCGAAGGCGGAAGCGTAGTAGAACATCTCGCGCATGTCCGTCACGGACGACGTGTCCCAGGCGCCGAGGTCCTGGTCGAAGACGCCAGCATTGTTGAACATACTGCTCATGTCCGTCACGGACGACGTGTCCCAGGCGCCGATGTCGTCGTTGAACGACTGCGCGTTCGTATTGTAACGCGTGCAGATCGACCAACCACAAAAGAGCTCCGACATGTCCGTCACGGCGGAGACGTCCCACGTCGAGATGTGGCCGTACGTCAGCGCCGCCGCGTCCGCGTCCGACAGCCACGCGTCGACCGCGGTCTCGAGCTCGCTCTTGTCCGCGAAGCTGTACGGACCCGCGGACGGCGGCGCGGTGAGAGCGACGGTCGGACCCGCGGACGGGCTCCGGGAGGGCGCGAGCGTGGGAGCCCCCGTCGGGATCGGCGCGGGTTCGATCGTCGGCGCGGGCGTGAACGAGACCTCGAACTCCGCCGAGTCCGCGAGCGTCGCGTCGTCCGAGCACGCCAGCGTCAGGGTGTAGGTGCTGACCTCCGCGTCGCCGGCGACGGTCTGCGTCTGCTGGCCGTCGTTGGTCGCGGTCTCCGCGCGGACGACGGTCCCGTCCGGGTCCGAGACCTCGACGTCCACGGTTGCGCAGGCGCCGGGGTCGCCGCGGTAGACCCAGAGGACGTCGCACTCGACGCCGGAGACGCAGGTCGCGCCGGTGCCGATGCTCGTGATGCGCAGGAAGGAGGCCGTCGGGGGCGAGGAGGGCGTCGCGCTGGGGGTCGCGCTGGGGCTCGAGGACGGACTCGGGGACGGCGCCGAGGAGGGCGACGCGGTCGGCGCGCAGGTTGCCGAACCAAAGGTGACGCCGCAGTCGGTGACCGTGCAGCCGGAGGAATAGGCGAAGTCCGAAGCCGAGACGCTGCTCGAGACGCACCAGCCGAGGTCCTGGTCGAAGGCGTCAGCGCCGTAGAACATAACTCTCATGGTCGTCACGGACAACGTGTCCCAGCCGCCGATGTCCTGATTGAAGGCGTCAGCACTGCGGAACATGTAGCTCATGTCCGTCACGGACGCCGTGTCCCAGGCGCCGATGTCCTGGTCGAAGGCGGAAGCACTGTCGAACATGTGGCTCATGTCCGTCACGGACGACGTGTCCCAGGCGCCGATGTCCTGGTCGAAGGCGTCAGTGCCGGAGAACATCGAGCGCATGATCGTCACGGACGACGTGTCCCAGGCGCCGATGTCCTGGTTGAAGGCGTAAGCAAAGGTGAACATTCTGCTCATGTCCGCCACGGCCGACGTGTCCCAGGCGCCGATGTCCTGGTTGAAAACGTAAGCCTCTCCGAACATCTGGCTCATGTCCGTCACGGACGAGGTGTGCCAGGCGCCAATGTCCTGGTTGAAGGCGTCAGCGTGGTTGAACATGTAGCTCATGTCCGTCACCTTCGACGTGTCCCAGGCGCCGATGTCCTGGTCGAAGGCGTCAGCATCGACGAACATGTAGCTCATGTCCGTCACGGACGACGTGTCCCAGGCGCCGATGTCCTGGTCGAAGGTTTTAGCGCTGTAGAACATCAAGGTCATGTCCGTCACGGACGACGTCTCCCAGGCGCCGATGTCCTGGTTGAAGGCCTCAGCACCGGCGAACATTCTGCTCATGTCCGCCACGGCCGACGTGTCCCAGGCGCCGATGTCCTGGTCGAAGGCGTCAGCAGTGTGGAACATGCCGCTCATGTCCGTCACGGACGACGTGTCCCAGCCGCCGATGTCCTTGTCGA